CTGTGAGTCACTCTGTGACGCTCTCACTGTCCTGGCACCAGCCAGCTGAGATCTGTGCATTCTGATGGCTTTAGGGCAAGGTACCTAAAGTAGGAGGTCTGTTCCCTTAGCAAAGCCCAGGGCGAGCAAGGGCAACTCCTGGCCTGGAGAGAGACTGCAGAAGAGAGGTCTTAGGGCAAAGGAGGTAGAGAGAGGCTACTAGCTGTGGGCTCCACCACAGACGGATGGGCCTTCAGAACACTTTTCCTAAAAAGAGCATCCCAAGAAACAAAGCTTTGACAGGGATAGGAAAATAAGAGGTAGTATGGTAGATTAAAATTTTTTGAAGTATCCTAAGTGAAGGGAGGCAGAAGGAGAAAGATAAAGACAGGATGGTTTCCCTCATGTGTGGAATATGGAGAAACCAAACAAAGGGTCAGAGGGTCAGACAAAAAAATTTTAAATGGATCCTTGAAAACCGACCACAGATCTGAGGTGTGGGGAGGGTGAGGGGGAAGAAAACAGGAGGAGGGAGAGAGGCGGGCACAGTGGGCTGTGGTGGGGGACTGTGGGTGCTTTGGTGGTGGGAAATCTATGGCGACCACCACACCTGAGGAAAGAAATGCTCTAGAGTGAAAAAACAAACAAAAAAAAAAATGTAAAATAATGGTGTGTCACCGGTGGCGCAGCGGTTGAGCGCTGGGTTGCGAAGCTGCCCGCAGCCTCTGCAGCGCTGGTTCGATCCCCGGCTGCTCCCCGGCCACCGGAGGAGGGTCCCGCATGGCGTGCAGACCTCTCCTGACGCCCGCTGCTCCCCTCAGCAGTGTACTTCGGTCCTTCTGCCTGCTCTGCTCCCCGCTCTGGCTCTGGTGAATTCTCTCACCCTCCCGCACTTCTGACTGTACCCAGTGCTTGTATAAATAAATAAATAAAATCTTTAAAAAAAAAAAAATGGTGTGTCATTTAAAATTAAAAATAAATGAATAAATAAAATAGTAAAGCCTCCCCTTCAAGAAAGAAGTGAAAAAAATAAAGGCCCCTGAAGTCAAGTCGCAACTGTTCTGGGACTAGAAAAGGAAAGTTAGTAGGGAAGGCGCCGCCCCCCAGCCAGGCTGGCCGGTCCTGACTGAGGGATTCCAGCTCCATCCTTTAGACCTGGCCCTGCGGTGGTAGCCTGGGGGACTTGGGGTCATTCATATGTAAATATGGGAGAGCTGGGGGTGGGGTGGGGGGGGCAAACGCCGATCCTATTCAAAGGATTTTAGGGGGTTGCTGAACATTCCAGAGCTCTGGGAAGATTCTCTGCCTGCGTCAGCTTCAGACCCACACGTATGCGCCGCAGAATTTTGACTTTGCAAGTTCCACCTGGGGTTGCGGGAGCCTGCGAGGAGGCAGCCAGGACTGACCGGCCTCCTTCCCGCTCAGGTGCAGCTGGGGACGTGGCCCGAGAGGCCAGGATCTCCCCCGCCGCAGACAGAGCCAGTTTGCAGAGGCTGGGGGGCGAGTGAGTGGCCTTCCTCTTTAAATCTCCTTTGAGGTGCGGTGGTTAGAATGGGGGCTGGAGGGGCAGCTGGCGGCGACTGGAACCCCTTACTTCGAGCACTTGGAGGACTTAGCCTGGCAGTAATGCCCTAACCGAGGGGAAGGAGGCATCTTGAGAAAGCGGAATCGGATTTTGGGTGGGGTGGTGGGAAGGGAACAAAAATGAAAAACGAGCTGCCCCTAATTGTTTTATCTCAATTGTGGGAGTAATGTGGTGCGGCCAGCCCCAACTCCTAACCCCCTCCAGGGCGTTAAGGAAGGATGAAGGGGCTGTTTTGCACCTTTTATTGATAGGCTGATGCCAGGCCCCAATTTCCTGCATGGGCTTCCTCATTTTTAATGATTTTGTCATCTTACGGAAAAGTAGAATGTTGTGGTATCTGAACAGAACATTTCCTACTTGGGGCATTTTACCTTGGTTTGGTGCAGGTGGCATTTTTATGGGAATAGGACTAACTTATGTTATTACCTTGTTTAATTCCCTCACCAATTCTGCAAAGTAAGTTTTATTATCCTCATTTTACAGATGAGGAAATTGAGGCCCAGAGGTAAAAATGGACTTTCTGGAACTCAGCCAGATTCAAAGCCTCAGTCTCCACTGCTGGGGGCTGAGGGTGGGGGCTGCCTTCTCACACTTGGTTGTAGCAGATACTGAATGTGTAGATCAGACTTTTTAAAGAATATATTTGGAATAATGGAAAATTAATTTTACATTTGGAGTTAATAATTCAAACCAGTTATCTCTAGTTGGACTTAATCTTTGAATATTAATGTATGTGTGAAACTGAAGGTCCCCTGCAGCCTCAGAAAAACTTTGGATTTTGTTAGAAATTCATATATCAGGGTCCCTAGGAGACTACAGTTTAGCAAAATACATTCTACTGGGTTTTTTGCCTTTTTTTTTTCAATCTGTTTTTTAAAGACTGTTCAAGGGTTTATAAATTCAACTGCCCCCAAAAAGACATGCTGACAGTTTGTAAGAACTGTTATCACATTTTTTGCTCTCTTTAAAAATCTAATTGCTGGCTTGTGATTGATGAGAGCTTGCTGGTGTGCTAAGCTTTGAACTATTACAGTAAAAAAACCCTTGGATTTCCTGCAGAAAATGCCAGTGAAGTTTTAAGATTTGAAACAAATAAACTCCTTACTTTCTAGTTGAGATTCCAGTCTAGTGAGACAAAAATAGCACCAGGATTAAGTGTGTAGGGCTTGGATTTCGATATATTTAGATTCTAATTCCAGAACTGCCTTTTACTCATTTTGTAGTACAAATGGGTCAACTTTTCAAAGCCTATATTTTCTTATCTATTTAATGGAGCAATAATACAACTTCAGAGTTTCGGGGTAAATATTAAATGAGTTCAAGGATATAGTATTTAAAATGTCTGTCTCGTGGTAGGAATTCAGTAATATACTCCTTTCCCAGAACTTTTTAATCCATTATCAAAAATGAGCTGCTTTTGTCATTCATGAAACATATTTGGACTAAGATTCTGTTGCTTTGAAATCATAAAGAAAATTTAAAACAAGGCCAGTGAAAATAAATTTTATATGCACTACGGTTAATTTGTAATTGTAATTTAGCATTTGGATCAGTTATGCTTGAAATGTCAAGTTCAAAGACTTATTTTGAATAATACCCAGTTTATATATAATTGCAAAGGTACAAAGAATGTGCATATATCCTTTATTCAAGTTTACCAGTAGTCAACATTTCACCATTTTTTTAAAGATTTATTTATTTATGTATACAAGAACTAGGGTATAGGCCAGAGGTGTGGGGGGGATGAGAGGATTCACCAAAGACAGAGTGGGGAGCAGAACAGGCAGATTGACTGAAATACACTGCTGATGGGAGCAGTGGGCGTGTCAGGAGAGGTCTGCTGCACCATGTGGTTAGCTCCCTGGCAGGGGATCAAACTCTGTGCTGCAGTGGCTGCTGATAGCTTCATAGGTTGCATCTTACCTGCTTGTGCCACCATGGAGACCCTCACCATGTTTTTGTTTTTGTTCTCTCTCTAGATCTCTTGTCTATATCTAGATATCTGTATATAGTTGTGCCTGAGCTATTTGCATTCATCACTGCAGTTATCATGTCCCTTGGTAAGCATGAGTGTGTATTTTATTTGAATATGGATAGTCTCAGACATGAGCACATAGATTTGTCATTTCAGGAAAATTTTAATTGATTTAATTATTTTTCTAATTTTTAGCCTATTATCCAGTTTCATCAACTGACCCAGTTTTGTCCATTCTGTCATTTCCCCACAGATCAGGATCCAGTTCAGAATCACATAATGCATTTATTTTTGTCTTTTCAGTTATCTTTACCTGGGAACTGTTGCTCAGGCTCTCTTTGTTTTTCATGATATGACATTTTGAGGACTGTAAATCCTGAATTTGGGTTTTTCTGATGTTGGATTTCCTCAAGATTTGCTTCACATTGTTTACTGGGTCGTTACCTTAAGGATATAAGGATATGACATTTGGAAGCATATGATGTCTGTCTGTTTCACATTGATGATAATTTTGATTAGTCAGTGATGGTATTTTCCATTACTCTACTATATAGTGACTGTTTTTCATTTTTGTAATCAGTAAGTAATTTATAATAAATAATTCAAAGCTGAACAACTCATCAAACCTCACTATCCCCAATAGAACTTTCCACTGATGATTTGTGCCTGGACCAGATTTTATTTGATGGTTGCAGAATGATGTAACAGGTGGCTGTAAAAGCTAGTGATAAGGTACAGAATTTGTTTTTATTTTTAGAAATGCAGTGTGGTTCTGTAGAGGTTCTTTTAATTGAAAATATCATGAAAGAACTTTGTTTACAGGACATTTGTATCTGTCTTCCAGAGTAGTTGAAGTAGCAAAACCTACTTGTGATCGTTGATATTTTGATAGGGAGATGCTCAACATTTATGTATATTTCATTATATAGGAATCTTAATCAACATTGACCACATTGTCCATCACAATGACAGTCACCCAGGACTCCCACACATAATTCCCATCTCTTATCTTCCTTGTAAGTGTCATTAATATGTGATCCCAATAATATTCCTCTTACTGTGCCATGTCAGTGTTTGTAACTCCCAACTTGGTATTTCTGCTGCTGAGACAGAAACAAGTGTGATATCTAATTTAGGGAAAGTACTTCTCTTCTTGATAAGAACTTTCAACCTCTTTCCCAAGAAGGTTGTGCACACTGTTTTGTCCTCATACAGTGGGCCAGCTCCTTCTTTTGACAACTTCTAGAAGTGGTATAACACAGATGGGAGAAGTTCTTTCTGCAGGGATAGCTTTTATAAGTTCTTTGTCTGTTCTGGTTGGAACTGACACGTGTGTAGGATTTCCTGTTAGTGGAATTGTGAGACCTTCAGTTCTCAGGGGACATGTTCTTTCCAGGTCCACCATTGAAGAGTCATGCCTTCCCACCCAGAGCTGCTGACCAGTCTTCTTTTTCCCTCCAGAAATGACACTCCTCTCCTCCCAGTCTTCATCACCGATGGCCTCTTCTGGGTCTGTGTCTACTGGTAACCCCGAACAGAGGATGCTGGAAAAGAGATCTAAGGTCATAGAAGAACTTCTTCAGACAGAGAGAGACTACATCCGGGATCTGGAAATGTGCATTGAGCGGATCATGGTACCCCTGCAGCAGGCACAGGTGGGAAATGAGGGAGAAAATTTGCCCTTCCAGGAAGTGGTTCTCTAAGCCTGCTAGGAAATAGGAGCTTTTACCCCAAAGATTTACTAGGTTTGAAATAAAGACTGTGATGGCTGCTGCTGCCCTTAATTCAAAGGTCAACTTAAGCCCTCAACATCCTACCACTTATGTCCACTGTCAACTTACCAGACTTACTACAGTAATTTCCCAGGACTTTTTTATTTCTGTGGCTCCTGTAAACAGTTCCAGGGAATCGGATTGTTACTTTTCTGAGAAGGTTGTGCAGTAATATAATGAAGTTTGGGGGTGCTGGGTTACCTGTTTTGAGCACTTCATTATATATATTATATTAATTCAGGAAACCCTCACTAACTTGTATATGTATAAGGCACTTTTCTAGATGATGAAGACAGGAAAGGTTAACAGTATCTTGAGGATTTACAGTCTTTACTGCTTGTTACCTGACCATCTGGATTATCTTACATTCACACCCTTGGAGCATTTACTTCCAGCTGCTGGAGGAAGTGAGCAGTGCCATCTGACTTTGCAGACAGCTGAGGGGTGAGGGGTAGATTTGTATCACAATATAATTATAAACCCAGTTAGTTCCACAGTCACTTTACTAAGATAATAGATGAAGTGGCAGGTAAGCCGAGGGTAACTGGATCAAGGACAAAGGGTGACATTAAAGATAGTGTTGGATGTTTCGAGTGAGGGAACATGACCTTGAGTGATTTTTGTACCATCTTCGAGGTGTTCCTAATATGAATAATAAGTAATTTGCCATCAGTTTCATTTCCATGTATTTTGACATTTTCTTTCTCATTCTCAGGTACCAAACATTGATTTTGAGGGACTTTTTGGAAATATGCAGATGGTGATTAAGGTCTCAAAGCAATTATTGGCTGATCTGGAAATCTGCGATGCCTTAGGTATGAGCCCCTACCATTTTTTAAACTTCATGGATGGGGGATGGAGGGGGACATCTTGCTGGTACTGGGCAGTTATGCAAGAAAAGTGAAGTTTTAATTACTTGGTTCAGAGGTTAGTTGATCCCTACTTCTTTTTTTTTTTTTTAAAGATTTATTTATATAAGAACCGGAGTATAGGCCAGAGGTGTGGGAGGGTGAAAGGATTCACCAGAGACAGAGTGGGGAACAGAACAGGCAGACTGATGAAATACACTGCTGAGAGGAGCAGTGGGCGAGACAGGAGAGGTCTGCTGTGCCATGTGGATTTCTCCCCGGCTGGCCAGGATCGAACCCGCGCTGCAGAGGCTGCAGACAGCTTCACAGTGTGGTGCTCAACTGCCTGCGCCACCTGGGAGGCCCTGCTTCTCCTTTTATCTCTGGCTTGCTTTGAGGTAATACAGACTCTTAGCATTGAATTTGAGATATTACATAATATGATGTTTTTCAGACCAACAGCCGCGGCCTATTAGTGAGCCATGAGATCAGTTTAGGGGGTCACGCCCAGTATAGTATATTTTCAATAAAGCAAAATAGAGTATAAAAAAGTAAGTAATAGTTTGGCAACAGTTTTGGGAAATTTTCCATTCTACATGATTGAATCATCATTTAAAACGTATTTATATGGTCATTGTACAAAATGTTTGGAAAACCGTCATCTATTTCTCATAAACAAGAGAACTATATGAGTTACTTATGGTTATGAAACACATTATACCAAAACTTAGCAACTTAAAACCAGGCACATGTTATCTCATAGTTTCTGTGGGTGAGGAATCTGGTAGTGGCTTAGCTGGGTGGTTCTGGATCCATCTGTTAGGTGGGGGGTTAGGCCTGGGCTGCTGTTTCCGGGCCTCAAGGATCCATTTCCGAGGGAACTCATCCATCTCTTGCCAGGTGGGCCTCCATAAACTGTCCTCATGACATGGCCACTACTTTTGTGGGACTGAGTGAGTGGTGAGAGAGGAAGCTCAAGATGGGCCCCGTGTTGTCTGTAACCTGCTCTTGGAGATGGCATGCCATCCCCTCTGCCATATTCTGTCAGTCGTAGATTAGCTCTGGTACCAAGCGGGAAGGACATCCTATCACTTAGCTGATTCATTGACATCAAAGTCTCAGAATGCTGCCATAGTTCTGGCCTTCTCGCCGTCCTGTGGCATCAGCCCACAGAGAGGGAAAGTGACCAGTGTCATTGAAGAGTGAATGAACTTGCCTTTCCCAGGACTCCCCCCAGTGTTTCTCTTTAGTTATCATTGGCCAGAACCAGGTCACATGCTCAAGCCTGAAACAATGGCTAAACATGGGAATAGCAGGCAGTATTTACCCGCCCCACCTGAGAGAGGCGAACACAGGAACAGAACCAGGGCTCCACCCTCCTTCGGGGAGATGGTTGTGGGAGGTTAGCTGATAGTGCAACATTGTGAAGAGTTCTTGAGTGTTTATTATGAGTCACACAGCCTACAACCCCACCCCCCGCCACCCCCCATCCCCGTGAGGTTTAGGCACTATTTGTCTTGTCTTAGAGATGAGGAAACAGGCATAGGGAGGACGTCATTTGTTCAAGGTCACATGACTAGGAATTGATGGGACTGACACTCGTGCCATTAACCTCTGTGTAGAATAGCTGTCTGTCTAGCACGCTCTGGAATAAGCTGTAAGCAAAACTGAAGCCCAGGTCCTGGTCTCAGCCTAACTGGTGAGATCAGAGGGGTTGAGGAAAGAGAAACACACATTGATTGACTGGGAGGAAGTCATGGTGAACCTGTTTCAGTACAATGATAAAGCATAAAAGCCAATTTGTAAGATTTTATAAGGCATTTGAAATAAGTATCTGTGGGTCATTTATTTGAATTATGAAATAAATGAGAGTCACTGTTGGCGTTTGGAAAGGTTTAATAATCAGGCAATTAATTATTTTTATTCCAACTTTATTTTTTTACGTATACATTATGACAACACTAAGGAAAATATTTTAAAAATACATAATTCCACCCCCAATATGGTATCAGCTGTGTTTATTTCTTTGTCCCTTCCACTTCTGCACCCAAGACAAGGGATTTGGCATAGACTGAGATGTGTTGCCTGAACTGTGGAGAGTTGAGACTGGAAGCAGATGAAAGGCTCAGGCCTAAGCAGGCACAGGAGCTCTGCACAGGAGTACACACGGGGTGGCTTTCATGTGCACGCATTGAGGTTGAGCTCGTATGAGAAACTAGCTGGGTGGCTTCCGCCTTCGTCAACCAGAAGGCCCAGAAGTATACGCAGCAGAGAAGTAATAAAGGACAAGATTTTGAACATCTGATCTGATAAGAGAAGGTTCTGAGAAGGCAAAATAAAGCTTAGTTGAGCCACTAGCAAAGGACAGCTCACGATGAATTGCATAAGCAAAGTTAATTTATTTTCATGTTTTTAACCTATTTTCACTTTCAAGAGATTCGTAATTACAAAGGTATAAAAAAACTAAGTCTCTCTTATCCAGGTAAGCTGTCTCCTGGAGACAGTTCAGGTCATAACCACCAATTATATATGTATTTCCTTTTCCCCGGTCCTGCATCCCTTTTTAAAAAAAAAAAATCACGAAAGGTAGCATGTTATTCTGAATTGTTCTGCACTAATAAGCCTGTCTCCCTCTCCACAATATGCCTTCCATATATGTTTATGACTCAGGAATAGAAATGGAAAGTGTACAGTGAGGAGGACAAGTCAGCAAAGAGCGAAGGTAACGGAGGGTGCGAGAGAAAGCGACATTGAATTAATAGCTGTGATTGGAGCAGGGCCGTGGTCCAGCCCGGACAGGATCCGGGGGAGGAAAGGACGGTAGACAGTCAGGGCTTGGGTGAATTAGGAGATGAGGACGGTGAGGTGAGAAGGAAGCACCAGGAGACAGAGTCTGCAGTAACATAGCGTAAAGAGATCTGTTTTATGTAATGATCCAGGGTGCATGTTGATGTGTGTGTCTGTGCTTGCTTTATGATGGCTGATATTTTCTGTTTCATTTCATGCTGATCATGACCCAGAAATAAATCTCACAACTCATTTGTAGGTTGTGGCCCACAGCTTGAAAGACACTGGAAATTAAGGTGTGGCTTTGGCTTTGGTAGTTTGTAGTTGATGTCAAATAGTCACAGCCAGGGAGGCTGAAGAACAGTGCCCGGAGGAGGGTGTGACCATCAGTATGAGAGGGAAGGTTCTGGGAATGCCAGGAGGGAAAGGAAATAAAGGAACGGGTGAGAGGAGGAACAGGCTGGTCAAGCCAGAGAGACCCCCCCCAACTACTTCTTAGTAGTTGGATAAGGCTGGGGGATGCCACCGGGATCTGAAGGTGAAGAAGCTGCCCCCCACACTCTGGCACCTGCCGGCTGCAGTGGGCTGGTGGGGCTGTCAGCGAGAGGGACCCACATGGTGCTGTCTATGCAAAAGTCAAGTTACTTCTAGAGAAAGGAGCTGTAATTTAAGAAATCATTTAAATAAAAACAGATGTGTGCAAGAATAGGGAATTCTACCGGCACAACTTAGAGGGCAGAGGTGACTTGTGTAGAGAAGGTGAGGGGTGGGCATCCCTGAGGGAGGGGCTCATGCCCAGAGTGACTGGAAGAAACAGTACAGGGAAGCCCTGGGTAGGATCATATTTTGAGGGGAAAATATTCAGGGGAGGATGTTTTTTAGGGAACAGTACAAGCTGAGGAAGGAAGGACTGAGTATATACGAAGAGAAGGAAAGAAGGGCGAGAGAAAGGGAGGCTTTAGTAAATCAGGGGACGGCGTGTTCAGGCAGCAGCCCCGAGGAGACAGTGGAGTTTGTTGGGGACTGTTCTTTGCCTGGCTGCTTGTGGAGACAAAGGGGTCTGTGGGTAGGTTCTAGGAGTCTGTGAACTTGGTAGAAAAAATAATTTTTTTTAAGACTTATTTATGCATACAAGAATTGGGGTACATGCCAGAGGTGTGGGGGGGTGAGAGGATTCATCAGTGACAGAGTAGGGAACAGAACAGGCAGATTGATGAAAATACACTGCTGAGGGGAGCAGCAGGAGAGACAGGAGAGATCTGCTGTGCCATGTGGGTAACTCCCTGGTCAGGGATCGAACTCATGCTGCAGAGGCTGCAGATTGCTTCATAGGTTGCGTCTTAACCCTTTGTGCCACCAGGGAGGTCCAGCTACTCTTTCTTTTCACTAATTTTAAATTGAAAGTTAGTGTTTATTTACGGTATAAGTATAGGGAACAAACCACATCATATTAGCAGCACCTGGACTGTCATAAGCTGAAGTCACATGTGTGTGTCACATTAGGCTGTGGCAGATGTCCTGGAACCTCGCTGACTTGGTACCAGATGCTGCCAGTTTCTGATGTTGGCCATCCATAGAGAACGGTGGTGATTATTAGGGTCATTGCTACATTTTACTATATCACAGATTTGGGATTTTTCTTTATATTGTAGATATTTCATTATAATAAATGTCAGTCTTATGTGTTTAATTTATGCACAGAGGTTGAAAACTGCTGCTGTAGAAGGGCCGCTTTACCCCTGTGGAGACTTTCCAAGGGCTTGGAAAGTGAGGCCTCCTTACGGGTTCTGATCACATTCCTGTGTGGAGACCACTTGCAAACCCCTTATTCTGCCTGACTGAAAAGGAACTGGAAGAAGAGAGAGAGAGAAGAGAGAGAGAGAGAGAGAGTGTGTGTGTGTGTTCTGGAAAATAAGCATATGGAGGCCATGGTTCTCTTAAGTTTTGCTTTAAATAAGTCCAGTTTTAAGCTTTTCCAAGGGAGTTTCTTCCTCGATGGAGTCTCATTTCTTATTAAAGTGTGGTTATATGCCTTATAAAGAAAGTTACTAAAAACACCCCGTGTTTGTGTGTTTTCCCAAGGACCTGTGTTTCTTGGTCACCGGGATGAGCTTGAGGAAATATACAAGGTTTACTGCCAGAATCACGATGAGGCCATTTCACTGCTGGAAATCTATGAGAAGGATGAAAAGATCCAGAAGCATCTTCAGGACTCCCTGGCAAATCTTAAGTAGGAATTTTGACCACTTCACCCCACCATTACTCTTTAGTCGTGCCTTTTAGAAGTGACTCCGTTGTATTCATGTGGGCAGACATGCTGGAACCACTCCCATGTGTGTCCAGACTCTGGGGACGTTGCTTGCTCTTAAATGTGTGGCGTGATAGGTCCTGTGCCATAACCTCCCTCTTCCCATATAGTATGTCATGGAGATCTTAAGTGGTTTCCAGCTTGTACTTTTATCCATTTAAAAACTAGGTTAGCATTTTCAGGTCAGAAGCAGCCAGGACGATAGTTGGGTCCCAATAAACAATAGCTTAGGTGAGAAGATTCAATTCCGTTATTCCTGACCAGTAAGTAAGGTTCTCCCGGGCTCTGGGCGGCGGGGGGCAGTAAGGCTCTCTGTCTTTGTTGATCGCCTTGAAACTATGGGCTAACTCATTTTTAATAAACCAAATATGCCTCCTTAGACTTTCATAATTTCCCTTTTGTCCTATGTGATTTTTTTCTCTGTCCAACTAAAATAGGCATTAGTTGGAACTGATATGATCTGACAAGAATGTGAAATCTGGGTCAGCATTCTCTCTAATCAGCTGTCTCTTCTTTCCATGCTCATTGTCCTGTAGGAGCCTGTACAACGAATGGTATGTTCCCTTCCTCTTGATGCATTCACTTTTTTATCATCTTTTCTAGACAGAATATTCCCGTATTGCTATATTTTTCTTCACGGCACTTAGACTTACTGGCACTTTATATATATTATGTTTGTTTCTTGCCTGTCTCCTTCCTTCCGCCAGGACAGAGACAAAATCCCCACTGGGGTCACTGCTAATCCCCAGCACCTTGACCGGTACCTGTATTTATTAGGTGCCCAGTAAATATCTGTTGAATGAATGAAATTAAAAAGCGGGTGGAAGGACAGAGTGTATGTAGGAATAGCTAATACTGGCCATGTTGTGTTGGTGGTGGTAACTCAGTCTGGCTCCCTCCTCTTCTAGGGGATGCACAAATTACATTAACCTGGGCTCCTTCCTCATCAAACCAGTGCAGAGAGTCATGCGCTACCCGCTGCTGCTCATGGAGCTGCGGAATTCCACCCCGGACTCCCACCCAGATAAAGTGCCTTTAACCAATGCAGTCCTGGCAGTCAAGGAAATCAACATCAACATTAATGAGTATAAACGTCGAAAGGACCTGGGTAAGGAAGCAGGGAGGGAGGTCTTCCCGGGAGGACCTTTCCTTCTCAGAAGTATTACTTACTTCACCCGAGAGAAGCCAGGCAGGGGGTCGGCCCGAGGGGTGTAATGAAGAAATGATAAAGTTTGGGGGAATTGTGATATTAATTGTGATATTAAAATAAGCAGTAATCATATTAAAAGCACAATCATGGAAAACTGGAAATAAGGCATCTGAGATAAAGCTTATACCATGAGAGGCTTTCCCAAAGATACGAAGACCGGTCAAAGAACATGCAGTCAAAATTGTTCCTTCAAGGGTGGGTAGGGCGCCTTCTTCGCTCGTTTAAGGCCATCTCTTTCAATCCATGCTTACACTGGTTTTCTCTGCATGCCTTGTTGGATATTTTACCACTGCAGCTTACGTTAGAACTTCCTTCTTTCAGAAAACCCCCGTGTGCCCATCCTTCTGGCCCCTCCGTCCTGCCCACTTCAATCACGGGCCCTCCTAGTCTGAGCCCCTCTGCACTATAGTGTAACTTCTTTGCCTCTCTTTCCACTGACTCCCACACTTTATCTAAAGTCATTTTCCTCAAGTGCAGCTGTGTTCCCCACATTGGCTGCTGTGCCTCAGTTGTCCTGTGTTTCCATAAATGGTGATTTGGATTATTGTTGTCTGTTATAAGTACACTGAGAACAAGCACTTGCTCTAGTTTGGGTTGCTAGACTCATTTTGTAGTTTATCCATACTCAGGAAGGTGCTTTTTTTTAAAAATCTAAATTTATTTTCACTATAGTGTGCGTGTTCTTATCCTTCTTTTGGAGATAAAGTAGAACTGAGTAGTTTATGAAAATTCCCAAAGGCATGATTACTCAGGAGTGGGATATGGATAAACCTACCTGACACGGTGGTTCATTAGTTTTCCTGATACATTTTTCTGATATAATATAGTTACCCAGAGCCACACAGGTCAGAAAGGGAAGACATAAGATTAAGCCCAAGTCCTTTAACTCCAAGGAAGTGCTTTTTTTTAAAAAAAACTTTTTCTTTTTAATGATTTATTTATTTTTATACAAGAACTGGGGTACAGGTCAGAGGCACAGGAGGGTGAGAGGATTCACCAGAGGCAGAGCGGGGAGCAGAACAGGCAGACAGACCAAAGTTACTGCTGAGGGGAGCAGCAGGCGAGGCAGGAGAGGTCTGCCACACCATGTGGGAATCTCCCTGGCAGGCTGGGAATCAAACCCGCACTGCAGATTCTGCGGACAGCTTCACAGCACTGCGCTCAACCCGCTGCGCCACCAGGGAGGCCCAGAAAATGCTTTCTTAACTCATCAGTTTTACTCACTCCCCAGTGCTCAAGTACCGGAAGGGTGATGAAGACAGCCTCATGGAGAAAATTTCCAAACTGAACATCCACTCCATCATCAAGAAATCCAACCGAGTCAGCAGTCACCTGAAGCACCTCACAGGCTTTGCTCCACAGGTGAGGTTCCTGCACGTGAGGGTTCAAGTTTCCCGAGGCTTTTCAGGGTTCCTTGGGGCCTACCTGCTTTGCTGATTGTTATCATCCCCTTCTCAGTGCGCCCCCTGGTGTTCACTGGCTGGTGGGTCAGGACCCGTCACCATTGATGTGGATCCACCGACCCTGTATGTGCCTTGGTGAGCTGCTTGCAGCATGTGCAAAGGCAAAGCAGGCCCAGCCCACTCTATGATCACTGTGCTCCTTGACACCAATGGAAGCATATAATCTGTGTGGTGAGATAAAATTAAACTGGAGGCATCTTAAACTAGAAGGTATTTAAGAGATCATCTTAGTTCAATACCACATGTCACATGAGGAAATGTGAAGGATTGAGTGATTGAAAACCAGTTTATCCACAGTGTTGCTAGACCACAATATATATGGTACAATTAGTGGAAAAGACCAAATAGAAAATAACCAGTTGCTGAGTTTTGCAGTTTATTCTGTATAAACTGTTGTATTTTTAAAAATCAGGAGTTCAGTGAATATGAATTGTGGGCAGATTTAACCTTTGAAAAGAAGGGACCAGGTTTGGCCTAGAGAGGGGGAGAGAACACCAGGCAAGACAAAAACACAAGCAGAGGCACTGGGTCCCCAGCACGGCAGGCGCCAGGCATGGTGAAGAGAGCAGCCTGGCAGGGCAGAGGATTGTGCAGCCCACAGGAAGTGAGCTGGGATGGTTGGAGGCCCGTATATATTTTGGAGACCTTCCAAAGCCGTGTGGAGGTGTTTAAATTCAATTCAGTGTGATTCAGGGAAACATGAAAGATTTAACATTTAAACTGAATGTGTTCTTAAGAAAGATATTTTCGTCAGTAAGATGGGTTGAGGGGGAGTCTAAATTTGCTAACAGCACTTGTTTCTCTTGAACAGATAAAAGACGAAGTTTTTGAAGAAACAGAAAAGAACTTCCGAATGCAAGAAAGATTAATCAAATCTTTTATCCGAGACCTGTCTCTCTACCTCCAGCACATCCGGGTGAGTAAAGACCAGGCACTAGTTAGAGCCTCCTCCGGGAGCTTCTGTCCACTTTCCTGTTCATCCAGTGTATGGTTTAGTGAATGTTGCATGATCTGCACTCAGAAGACCATGGTGCAGTGACATCGTTTTTATTGGGATTTTTTAACTAAGCAAAATATTACAAAATTCAGAAGTTAACAAAACGATAAGTGAAAATTATTCCTCCTACCCCTGTCTCCTAGAGTCTTCCACTTGAAAGGAATTAGGAAGATTCCCCAATTTATCTTCTGACAAAACACAGAAAACACAGATTTTCATATGCGCAGATCCTGGATGTAAAGACAATTGGTCTAAAAACATTGTTAAACTATCAGACTGATATATGAAGTACTAATGATGTTTTGGGCTTGAAATGTATTTGTGGAGTTTTTACTGCATTCATATTTTATTTGGGTTAATATCAAAATAAGCATTCCCTAAACTAGAACTAAAGGAGGCGGAGGCCAGCATTGTTCTGAGTAGCCAAAGAAAACCAGCTGGGATTTAAAAGCTGTCCTGGTCTGTCTGTCTGCTTATTTGTTCATTTATTCAGCACATGATAATTAAGTGAGCAAACAGAACAGACCAGAAGCCCTGCCTTCAAGGAGCATACATTTTTTTAAGATTTACTTATTTATTTATACAAGCACTGGGTACAGTCAGAAGTGCGGGAGGGTAGGAGGATTCACCAGAGCCAGAGCGGGGAACAGAACAGGCAGACTGATGAAATACACTGCTGAGGGGAGCAGTGGGCAGCAGGAGAGGTCTGCGTGCCATGGGGGACCCTCGCCCAGCGGCCGGGGATCGAACTGGCACTGCAAAAGCTGCGGGCAGCTTCACAACCCAGCGCTCAACCGCTGTGCCACCAGGGAAGGCCCAAGGAGCTTACATTTTAAGAGGCGTATGTGGGGGAAGGGTAGAGACAGTGAGGAGGCAGGAGTCAACTACATTGTCTGGTAGAGGCATTTTGGGCACTGACAAAGCGTAAAGCAGAATAGTCAGGAGTGTGGGCGCAAGGGTGCTGGGAGCCGGGTTGTAATTATCTGCAGGGTGCTGAGCGCTTGTCTTTGAGAAGGTGACCACGTGAGCCAAGACTTGAAGAGAAAAGGTGATTGTTATCATGGTCCTGCAGGGCTCTTGCCTCTCGTTGGATAATTTACCTCTTGGCGTATTAAGAAACCTTCAAATTAGGGACATCAGAAAGTTCTAGCAATGATAAAAGCCCTCATTAGTATTTCTGTAATTAAAAGCCTTAGACTTTTCTCTGTGCACCACAAATCACACTTCACAAGGGCATGCGTGCTTCAAAGCGGAAGTACTACATCAGAGAGGAGAGCCGAATTACACAGCCCTTGTCCTTGTGGCTCACTGGATGAAAGTTTTGCTTTTTCTCACTTGTGTCCATGGCTGGCTGCAGGAGTCAGCGTGTGCGAAGGTGGTGGTTGCCAAGAGCATGTGGGAAGTGTGCATGGAGAAGGGGCACAGAGACCTGGAGAAGTTCGAGGAGGTGCATCAATACATCAGTGATCGGCTCTTCTTGAAATTTGTGAGTGACAAATTTCATCTGCATCAGCCCCTGTTCATGCGTTGGCCTCCTCCCAGGGTGCTCGCTAACGCCCGGCTCGGGGGAGATGGTTCCATAGACTGCTCCGGGCACCAGCAGCTGCAGCTGACTCGGGTCAGGTTTGACATTCAGAACATGACGTTTGGTTCTTTAAAGGACAGCCAGGACCTGTGTGTTAACAGGGATTTTTTTATAGACTATGAACAACCTCGTTTCAGAGACAAAGGAAAACTAGGAAATTTAACCTTTTGTCTCTACTGGTAGAAGACGGAAAAGAAAACTATTGGAGTAATAATTTAAAAAGGAATATTTAGAAAGACTTCAGAGGGAAACAAATAGATCTCTGATCATGTACAGAGAGATACTAAGGGCCACATTGCTTGGGAAATTCTAAATAGACACATATGGGACTGTTTGATCCTGAGTAGAAGGAAATATGTTTGAGTGTTTCTTAGAAACCTCTAGATGACTGGAGGCTAAAACAAAACCCACATACTTAACAGGTATCCTGCAGGGAACATTGTATTAAAAGTAGTTTACTGAGTACCTTCTTATGTTCTTTTCTTTTTTTTTTTAAAGATTTATTTATTTTTATACAATAGCTGGGGTACAGGCCAGAGGCACGGGAGGGTGAGAGGATTCACCAGAGACAGCGTGGGGAACAGAACAGGCAGACGACAGAAATACACTGCTGAGGGGAGCAGCAGGAGCGACAGGGGAGGTCTGCCGTACCATGTGGGATTCTCGCCGGCTGGCTGGGATCGAACCCACACTGCCGAGGCTGCAGACAGCTTTATAACGTGGCGCTCAACCCTCTGTGCCACCGGGGAGGCCCCCTTCTTATGTTTTTGATGTGACCAGTACCCTGCCCTCACTCCCTGCTCCTCTGCAAAATTTACAGAGAAAAATCTTTGGAAAGTGAAAACAGATATCACCAAGTAGATACAGTTAGAAAAGGTTGATGGGTGGTGAAAGCTTCTCTACCCCAGATTATGTCACTACTGCATCAGAGGTTAAGTTCAGCCCTCCGGAATTGTGCACATACATGGTGCCAGGCACACATCAGCTCGTGCTGCGGTTGTCACATCGTGTGTCTAGTGAGTATCACCTACCTGTTCAGGTGCAGGTGGGTCACTGGCGGCTCGGCCTGTGACCACTGGTGAAGAGCTGGAAGCTGAGACATTCAGGGCATCTGCCTGTGTGTCTGGTTTTGGGGAGTCCAGCACTGTTGGGCTTCATGGTTTGGCTTGCGCACTGGGAGCAAAGCAGGCGTGACAGGACACACCAAAATCAGCCTGAAGAGTGTTTTGAACAACAGATATGGACTGTGGCCAACTTAGCAACCTGCCTTTCTCATCCCTACAGAAGGAGAGGACCGAGCGGCTTGTCATCGCTCCCCTCAATCAGTTACTGAGCATGTTCACGGGGCCGCACAAGCTGGTACAGAAGCGCTTTGACAAGCTTCTGGACTTCTATAACTGTACGGAACGGGCAGAGAAGCTCAAGGACAAGAAGACCCTGGAGGAGCTGCAGTCGGCCCGGAACAACTACGAGGCCCTGAATGCCCAGCTGCTGGATGAGCTGCCCAAGTTCCACCAGTACGCCCAGGGCCTCTTCACCAACTGCGTGCACGGCTACGCAGAAGCCCACTGCGACTTTGTGCGCCAGGCGCTGGAACAGCTGCAGCCGCTGCTGTCGGTGAGTCTCATCTATGCCCACGAGGACTCCTGGTATTTCTCTGTGAAATACCAGAGAAGTTGCTAGATTAAATAAATATGTCAGTAGCTGAAGCCCATTCAGAATCGGGTTTGTAATGGCTCGGAAATCTGTGGCCCTTCAGCAGCTCTCTATCCTGAGCCATTCCAGTCGAGCTGGCAGCGCCACAGAGAGCCTTGTCCCTCATCCCCGGCCTGCTGCGGGTGGGTGCCTTACGCGCAGTGAGCTGCAGCCCACCATGAGTTCCAGTTGGTTTTGGTGAGATCTTGTTAGTTGGGGATCTTTCATGGTATTCTCCTCTTGCCTCGGCTGTCCCATGGACTCCAGTTACTTAAAGTTGCCGGCAGAGAGGGGAACCTGATCGCCATCTTCCATGAGGAGCACAGCAGAGTTCTGCAGCAACTCCAGGTTTTCACCTTCTTCCCAGAGTCCCTTCCAGCTACCAAGAAGCCATTTGAAAGGAAAAGCATGGATCGCCAGTCTGCTCGAAAGTCCCTGCTGGGCCTGGTGAGTAGAGAAGGGGCAGACGTCCCAGTGATTAAGACTGTGAACTCAGGCCTGATGACCTGGTGCAGAGCCCAGCACTAAAACTTAGTGTCCTTGAGCTAGTCTTGTAGCATCTGTGCCCTGGTTCCTTCTCCAAAACAGGTAACTACCCCTCTACCAGTTAATCGTGAGGTTTAAGTGAGTCATACATAAAGCCCTTAGACATGGCCTGGAACATCGCATCGTACAAGTTACCCAACATCACAGTCATTTATTATTAACATTGATGGGCCCTGCTCCATCTCTACAGACTCCAATTTCATTGGCATTTAACTGTATTACATTAAATAGAGCATAAAAGTTACCAAGCTCCTGTCTGTCTTGACTCATTACTGGTACTTAATGGTGACTTCCTGTCATCTCTCATGCTTGGTATGACCCTCAAAATGCCCCCCAAAAAGTGTTCTCAAATCTTAGTCCTAACCAGTGAAAGGAATTAGTGAAGTTTTAATTCAATTTTATTATTTTTTAAAAGATTTATTCATTTATGCATACAAGGGCTGGGTTCAGGCCAGAAGTGTGGGGGTGAGAGGACTCACTAGCAACAGAGTGGGGAGCAGAACAGGCAGATCCACTGAAACTCACTGCTGAGGGGAGCAGCGGGCAAGACAGGAGAGGTCTGCTGTGCCATGTGGGTCACCTCCCCGGCTGGGGATCGAACTCGTGCTGCAGTGTTTGCGGATTGCTTCATAGTGCTGATGCGTAACTCCTTGCGCCACCAGGGAGGCCCCAAAGTTTTAATTTTAATATATTAGTTAATTCAGGTAATGTGTATGTTAATTCTGCTTGGCCCTGCCTATTTTTGATCATGTATTAGAAAAGGAAATTATGGGATACACTGTGGAACAGTCCATGGCTGGCTGCCTTTTTACCTGGAGTCATGTTCTTTCTTAACTTAGTTTTTCCATATATTGAAAAATAGGTATAATTGGCCAATTACATGGGGTCATAATCTAAAAGGCTGTTGGTTTGCCTTTGCTTGTAATATTTTGCCCTACACAATCCTACAAATACTAATATATGTTACCTTGAAAGGAGGAGTCAAGTTTATTATTTACTTTTCCTTTCCCTCGTTTTAATGAAGATTGTTTTCATAGCTGTCAAGACAAGGAAGTCTCATTGTGTGGGTCCATCTAACCGTGGAAGAACTATGATGAATTCTCTGCTATCCTGATGCTCTGGGTGGTGCTGTCATCACATTTTTTGGTCATAGGATAACAGACGTAAAACTGCACGTGTGTTAAATTTTAATTGCTACAGAGGATCCAAACCATGACCTAGGAGCTGATGCGTCTGACCCGGCACGTCGTGGGCTGGCTTAGGCACAAAACACCTGCTGGGCTGTGGGTCCCGAGCAGACTCGGCGTATGTGGGCACCAGTCAGGGAAGATTCCTGCTGACCGTGTCTCTTCTGCTTTCCAGCCCAGTCACATGCTACAGTCAGAGGAACTCCGCGCCTCGCTGCTGGTGAGGTACCCCCCTGAGAAGCTTTTCCAAGTGGAGCGGAACTTCAATGCGGCTCAAGACTTGGACGTCTCCCTTCTGGAAGGCGACCTGGTGGGTGTGATCAAAAAGAAGGACCCCATGGGCAGTCAGAACCGCTGGCTGATTGACAATGGAGGTGAGGATTGGGGACATCAGATTGGGGTGACTCTAAATGAGGAAAGGGTGATTCTGACTGTGCCTCAATCCTGTTAGGCCAGAAAAAAATAGGAGTGACTTTGATTAAAGGGAAATAGAACCTTCCAGGTTTTATCCACCACTAGTGAGTGTAATGCCTAATTTATTACTGACACAAAAGCTGCTTTTGTTTCTGATTTTTTTAAAAATTCTAGAGGAGGTTCCATTTCTCACCTTGCAAGACCTTGTCTGATCCTTGGCCCTCTCAACCTATTCTGAGTAGAACACAAAATAAGCTGCCCTTTTCCTCCTTCCTTCCTTGCACTAAGAGCTGTCTGTGTTCCTCCTTCCCGTAGTGACCAAGGGCTTTGTGTACAGCTCCTTCCTGCGGCCCTACAACGCCCGCCGCAGCCACTCCGACGTCTCCGTGGGCAGCCACTCCTCCACCGAGTCGGAGCACAGCGGCTCCTCCCCCCGAGTCCCGCGGCAGAACAGTAGCAGCACTTTGACCTTCAACCCCTGCAGCGTAGCTGTGCCCTTTAACTCAGGACCTAGCCTGAAACAGCCTCAAGACGCATCTTCAGTGAAGGAACCGGAACAAGGAGCACTCAGCACGTCCTTACCCTCTGGTAACTCCGAGAGCAGCCCTTCCAGGTGCCCTTCAGATGCCGACGCCACCCCCCAGCCCAGGCCCCGGGACACTGCAGACGCTGCTAGAGACACCAACCAGCCTGCCCACTCCTTGAGGAGCCTCCGTAACTCCCAACACCCAGAAATGGTTGGTTACCTCATGCCGGGGCGAAATGGGCAGGGAAAGGACCATGTTAAAGGGTGTGCAAGGACAGCTCAGCCTCTGGAAAGCAAAAAGGAAGAGCCAGGAAGCAGTGAGGCAGAAGGCAACCAGGTAAGGCTCCCCCGTCACCACACAGAGCAGGTGGCAGGTGGGTGGGGTTGCAGAGGCTGCTTTTCTGCAGTGGCCAGTCAGGCTTGCCCGAGGCCTGGGGTATGTATGACCTAGAGACAGGCTCACAGTCAGATCGCACAGAGCTTTGCACTTGGAAACGCACTGCTGTAAGAGCGACAGCCCAGCACCCCAGGCACCTTCTGCAGCTGACTCTTCACTGGCTGTTTCTGGACCCTTCCACTGTGTCACTGGCCACTGCAGGGCTTAGAATGAAGACTTTCCCATGTCCCATTCATTACCCCTCAGTCTGCTGTTCAGCCCATCTATAATCTAGTTTTCTATTCAAATAGCTATGCATTCTTTCTTGAATTTTATTCAGAAATAAAATTCTTGTTGTTTTTCCTCTTTGCAATGGCCTGTTCTGCTTGGGGATTTCCATGTAGCCTTAGGTCTTAAACATTTTAAACGTACATATTTTAAAGCCATTTCAGAATCATAACTGAGGAGCCCCTGGCTCCCCTGCTTGCTGCTGCTCTTGCTCTGGCAGTGGTGAGTTTCCGTGTGTGTCGCCTGTGAGCTCGTCCCCAGCGGAGGTGACTGGTCAGACTCACTCGTGTCCTGGCTTGTGCTGGATGGGTCTCCCCTATCAAGCTCTAGAGTCCCAGAGACCATTTCCACACTAGTTCCTCAGCTCAGACTGTCCAGACCACATTCCTCAGCGCTGCCGAGGGACAGAGCACCTGCGTTCCTGGGATTCTTTTCTACCCACACCAGAGCAGACATCCCAGACCCAGACCAGAGTGGACAGTTTCTAGACATGATGCAGGAGAAAATGGTTTTTTCTTACGGTGTGTGCACGTTTGGGGTACTGAAGGATCCCTCTCTACCGCATCCATCTTCTATGTTGACTGAAGGGTCCTTCTTCCACTCTTTAGGGCAATCTGAAAGAGTAAAAAGATGTGAATTGTGATTTTCGTTGAACCTGCTGTCTGTTGTGGCAGCCACCAGCCATAGGGAGCTCTTTAAAGTTAGTTAAAATTAAATTAAAAATTCAGTTCCTCCAGCTCATTAGCCTCGTTCCAAGCGCACAGTGGCCGCACGGGCCAGGGGCCGCCCTCCGGGATGTGCAGATCCAGCCTCCTTCCTCCCCGCCGGGGGCTCTGTTGGGCGGTGTTGCTCCAAGCAGTTTCCCATTTCCTAACTCGCTGTCTTTCCCACAGGTCTACTTTGCTGTCTATACCTTCACGGCGCGGAACCCTAACGAGCTGAGTGTGTCGGCCAATCAGAGACTCAAGATCCTGGAGTTTAAAGACGTGATGGGGAACACAGAGTGGTGGTTGGCGGAGGTGAATGGGAGGAAGGGCTATGTCCCCTCCAATTACATCCGCAAGGCTGAGTACACCTGAGCACGGCCTGGGCCCGGTCAGCCTCGCTGCCTGCGCTTGCCTTCTGCTGAGGGTTCCGGTGACCCCTGTGAGGGCGCCTGAGACCTGGCCCCCGCCCAGGCACAGGGGGGCACTGGCTACATCTTGTTCTCCCTGGTTGGGTTGTCAGCCTTGAGCTCACTAGATTTTTAGAATTTGAAGTGGACTCTGGGACTTGAAAATAATTCCATGACCATGAGAAGAGAGGCGAGTCCTGGGGTCCCGGCCTTTGGAAATGAGACATTTCCCATCAGACCAGAGTTCTGTGCGTGCTAGAAGCTGTGGTGCAGCGACAGAGGGCGTTGGCTGCACCCTACCAACTGCGGGGTGGCTCCAGGCCCCGGGATCAACTGACTTGGATGGAGAGATGTCTCTGGGAGCCCTTTTTAGGCTGTGCCTCCGCGTGTGGCAAGGAGTTTGTTGATTGTACCAAATCCAGTGTTTTCATGCTTCGGTGTCCAGCCCATCTTCTCTCACACACCCCCCTCAAATTTCTAAAAGTGCTGCAAATACCACCCTCTGTAATCTCTTATTTCACGTGATTCCAGGTCAGTTATGCAAAATTCCCCTGCTTTCTTTCTCTGAAAGTACAGCATCTTTCCTTTCCTCCAGACCTTCACCTGCAGGGTCTCTCCCCTTAGAGGGACTGTCCTCTCCACTGTGCACAGGCTGCGTGCTCCGCCTCCTCACCTCTCCTGTGAAACACCAACCAGTAGGTTCTCCTAGGACAAGACCGGGGGCTCCTGCTCCTTCGTTACAAGCTCAGCTCCCCACTGAGCCCGGGCAGGCCCGCCGATGGAAGCAGGGTGCTGTCTCCTTCAGCCGAGCACACTACTGTCCACGCACAGAGTACACGAGGTCTTACCGGAACTAGGATAGGCCGTCCCGTGGGAGGCTTTTCCTCGACTTGGAAATAAGCATTTCCTGCTTCACCTCCAGCCTCCGTGCTTCTGACTCTGAAGTGAATCTCATTCCAAAGTGCCTGGTCAGTCATACCTCCCTCTGCCTTCAGGAAGATATTTGCTAACCCTTCCATGAAGAATCTCCCTGAAAAGTTCATTTGAGCAGATGGTATTGTTAACATCTGCCCCAGATGCGAAGCTACCTTGAATCAGGAAAGTTTTGTCCTAAGAGGGAATTAAGAGTAACCTGCATCCCTGCCCTCCACGTGCACCTTTGGCCTTAAATCCTGACGCGTCAGGAGACACCTGTGCTTGCCGGTTGGTCAGAGGCTACAATGCAAGTCTCTTGTAAATAGTGTTTATATTTATAGAGTTTTATAAGTAGCTCTTTTATAAATAAAAGCATTTCTAAGGGCCGTGAATGTGTTTTGACTTCCTTCCACATTAACCCTGAACCACCTCAGGTTTCTAGGGCCACCCTTATGGTTCAGGGACGCTCAGGTTCTGGGGGATGAGGAGGCAACTGAATTCACTTTGTCAAATATAATTTCAACAGAATCGCTGTTTACTGACAAGGTGTCCTTACTGCCTCTTTAAGGCATCTCATACTCTAAAATCCTGGCGGACAGAATTTCTGAAACCCCTAAGCTGGAATCCCTAAGGTGTTTTCCTGCTGTGCAGAGGTGGAAATCGGTGCACTGGAGGTGAATTCACAAAGGAGGGGTGGGGAGGGGAAAAGCAGCAGGGCACTGGAGGGGGTGTGGAGGGCTGAGGATAACGTGACAGAGAAGCAGGCAATGCTGTTTAGGAAGAAAAGGCACTAGATAGACACGCGGGGGCAAAGAACCGTAGTCAGCCAGCCCCCGCTTCTCCAGTTTAGGAACTAGGAAAAGGTCCAATAACATCGAGACCGAGGGCCGAGTGAAGTAGGGCAGAGGTTTAGGGGATTTTCATGGTCTGGGGTTCTCGCCCGTGCACTCACAAGACAGCATGGCATCCCTCCAAAGGGAGGCTGGAACTACTGGCACGTCAGGATCCAGGATCCAACTCTCCTGTGGCAGCCGGGGCACGGCTAAGGCCGCACCACAGCAGCGTGGTAGCAATTCAGACACCAGGCTCGTAGTGCCAGACGCCGGACCAGAGGACCATGGCACCCGTGTCTCCAGAGATGCCAGGTATAGGCCGGTGGCACTCCTGATGAATGAAGTTGAAGCAAAAGTCTCCAGCCAGGGCCTCTGCCTGAAGCCTTCCAAGCAGTCTCGAGCCGCACCTGTCTGCTCGTATCTCCTTTCAGGGCACCTGCCTTTCAAACCCGGTTGGTCCGTTTTCCAAACCAGCTGCTTCTCAGACCTAATTGGTGCTGGTGCAAGCTTGCATTTACTTGGTGCCAGTGGGAGCTTGTTTTCAAAACCAGCTTGGGGTTCAAAACTCAAGCCTGGGAGTGCGTCCAACCTGCCCTGCATTTTCTTGTGTGGGGACCGGGCAGGTGAGCTCCGCTGTATCCGTATGGCGCCGGCCAGGTCAAACCTAACCCACATGTCCCCAAAACTGCTACGGTTTTCTTCTTTGTTTCCTTTAAACTCAAGCCCAGCTGTGCCAGCGTCAGCAAGCAAAGCTGGCTGCCGTAGCCTCGCCTGGGATGATGTCGCTCAGCTGGTGGCCCTGGTGCCTTCAGAGAACCAGGAGCCAGGAGGGCTACTCCAACATGAGTCATCAAGGTTTTGATGGCTCCTGAATGAAATTTGAGCCTACGGATTCTGGTTGAGTCCTTATGTCTGGTCCTGAGTCCTTACACCTTGTTCTAGGGCCAGGCTGTCTGGCTTCAGACACTTAAGAGATTCATGACCTGGGCAGCTTGCCTCATCAATACCTTAGTTTCTTTATGTAAAGTAGAGAAATAGGCCTCCCTGGTGGTGCAGGGGGTTAAGACGCAACCTATGAAGCTATCCACAGCCACTGCAGCATGCGTTCAATCCCCAGCCAACCAGGGAGCAACCCACATGGCGCAGCAGACCTCTCCTGACTCACCCGCTGCTCCCCTCATCAGTGTATTTCAGTCAGTCTGCCTGTTCTGCTCCCCACTCTGTCTCTGGTGAATCCTCTCACCACCCCCCCCCACACACACCTCTGGCCTGTACCCCAGCTCTTGTATGCATAAATAAATCTTTAAAAAAAATAAAGTAGAGAAATAATGCTACCTCATGGTAGGACTGAGCTAATGCATGAAGAGAACATGCATAAGCCAAACATTGACTGGCTCACAGTAAACAAATTAAAGAGCCTTGAGGTCCAGCCAAAGAATTTAAGTTTGATGCAGCAGGTAGTATCCACTCCTTGAGTGGAGGGCCTGTTTTAGGAGAGCTAAATGGCAACAGTTGATTTGGAGAAAGAACAGAACAAAGGCAAGAAAATAGGATAAAGTTAGCTGATTTGGGCATAAGATGGCTTGTGAAAGGAGAAAAGCAGCAGCATCCTATAAAGATGACATTAAAGAAATGGAACTGCTGGCAAAGGGAGCTCCTTGGGATGGCAGCAGAAAGACGACCAGCTCTGTCTTAAACACCAGCTGTAGGCCCTGCTCCTCCCGGTGCTGTCCCCCCACCCGCTGCGGTGTCCCGCACTCTGCCTGGGGCTTGCTGGAGCTGCAGCCCCCAGCGCAGCAGCTGAGTTAGGGCCCAGGTGGGGGGTCTGTGCACATTCAGGTATGAGAAGCACCAGCCTAGGCACTTTTTAACTGGACTTTCTACTGTCAGAAAAGTAGAAGTCGCAAAAAGCAAGGAAGGAAAGGGTGTCAGATGTTTCAGACACAACAGGAGGAAATGTTATTGAAGCCAATGTCCAGTTTGCTCGCTTACTTCCCTTCGTGAATTTCCCCCCTCCCTGCCCGGAAGCTGCTCTTCCGTCGTGCTTTCTCCCTAGAGTCCCTACTAAGCCAACAGCGGTGGTGAGAATATGGCATTGGCCAAGTTCTGTGCACGGGGCCCTCTAGAAGGACCTGGACTTAATAAAGGTTGGAGTTTGTGTTGCCCGGTGTTAATTCGCCGTGAAGCTGGGGCTCTTCACATAGGTTTTGTTTCAGGGTCAGGAATGTAAACAGGCTCTGGAACATAGTTGTGCTTTGACTTGTTTCCTCGTGGAAGCTTATGCCAGAGGAAGGGCCCAGAAGCCTTGAGACTGATAAACTTCATTCTAAGTTCTCTCTAGCGGCCACACACAATTTGCAGGCTTTCAGGCGCTCCCACCTGCTCGGTGGCGCGGAGCAGGGATCATCTCCAGCCGGAGCCCCTGCTCGCTTTCCCCCAGCCCACTGCAAGTTTCTTGCAAGTTAGCATTTTGCACGTTGTCAAGAAGGGAGTTTTCCAGAAGTCACACTTAGCAAGCTACAGGGCGCGACCTGCTCCGTGGCGCCACCCAGCGGAGACTCGGGGCACAGGCGGGGACCGAGAGCTCCCAGGGTGGAATCCTGCGCAGAGGCGGCGCGAGGGGCGCGCACCTGGTCAGGGCAGGGCCGCGGCTCACCCGGGATTCAGATTTCGCGAGCAGGCCTGGGCCTGGGTCTGCAGGCTCAGCAGAGCCACGTCGCGAGGCACCCCGCGCCCCTGCACGCCGGGACACCGGGCCGAGCCGGGCTCCAAGCGTTTCGCAGCATCTGCTCGGTCCAGGGTCAGGGAGGCCCAGACGCGCCCTGTCCTGGTCTCCAGTTTACAGGAGCGCAGCCTCTCGTGCTGCCAACCTCGGGGGTGAGTCCGTGACGATCGAGGAATGAGGTCAGTAAACTGGCTTCAGTTAGACAATATTAGCAGTTTTATCAGCGCTGCTTTTCAGTTTCCCATCGCTGGGGTAGCGAATCACCACACCTTCACTGGCCTGAACAACGCATTTCCTGACGGTTCTGAAGGTCAGAAGTTCAGTCTCCGGGGCTGAAGTAAAGGCGTCCCTGGGCTGGACCCTCACGGAGCTCTGGCACAGAATCTCTGCCCTTTGCAGCTCCCAGAGCTGCCAGCGCCACAGCTGGGGACTCCTCCCGCCTCCGGAGCCAGCCCACAGCGTTTTCTGTGTCTGTCATGCCCTCGACTCCACTCCCTGACGCCCCTGACTCTCTCTTAAGGGTCCTGCGGTGACAGGGGCCCACTGGAGAATCTCCCCAACTCCTCCTTCCTTTACCACACCTTCAAAGTCCCCTGGCCGTGGGGCAAACCCTGCTGGGTCCTGAGGACGGGGAGCTGCCCAGCTTTGAGAAGCGTTACTCTCGGCAGGCACAAAGCGGTGCTCTGCGCAGGCCTGACGCTGCGAGACGTGTTTGAGGGAAACTCTCTTTTTTAAAAATCATGTTTTTCTTTTTTGAGATTTATGTATTTGTTTATTTATGCATGGAAGAACAGGGGTGTAGACCAGAGGTGCTCTTACACAAGATCAGCCAGCTTGGTACATCCTCGCTTCTATTTGTCCCCTGGATCAGTGTAGCGTTGCTTCAGCTGCGGCTCCGAATGCTGCAGCTCCGAATATGCTCTTGGCATGTTCTTCCCACTGTATTTTTTAATAAATATTTTTTGACACTCAAACATTAAAAAAAAATTGCATACCTGCTAGCTTCTAAGCACGGGCAGTGCACAACAAAGCAATAAATTATTTCTTTTTCAAGAGCCTGGGGGCTAAGGGAGAGAGGCCCAAACAGAAAATGGTCTGGCAAAGTGATAACACATAGAGATGAGGAGACTTGGGGTGGGGGTGGGGGATCTGGAGATGTAAACAACAGCCTCTAACTCTGATGAGCAGAAAGGAAGTTTTCAAAGGAGAGCAGGTAAGTCACCCAACCTCTGGGAGGGTAAGAAGCCCCCTTTGATGCTTGGAAGCGGAGAATGATGCTGAGGGTCACCATGTGTCACTAGGCCTGCTGCTGGAACAATCCCTCTGGACCAGGCGTCCCCACTGCGGTTCCCCCCGCCCCCCCCCCCCCCTCCACCCCTTGCTCCCCCCCAGGTCCCCTTGCCAGAACAGAGGCCCCTGCCTGTGTCGCCGCAGCAGAACCAACACCTGGCGCTGGCGTGTCCAGTGAGCTGCGCAGTCACGAGCTCGCCCCAGGCTCCCACCAAGAACCTTCAGCCGGGGAAGTCTCGGATCATCGCATCGGGGTTCAGATGCTGAGCTGCCCAGAAGACCGAACCTCTACATGAATGAGACTAACGAGGGGGTGAGAAGAGAGGGAGTCGGGGGAGCCTCTCAGGTGACCCGGAGAAGGAGTCTCAGGGAGTTATTTAGGAGCTGTTGTGTGGGCCGGGGTGTCCAAGCCGAGAGGATAAAATAAGCAAGAGACTAAGGGAAAGGTGGTGTGAGTGTGTGTGCGAGTGTGTGTGCGCGCGTGTGTGTGTGCGTGTGTGCGTGCACGCGCGCACCTGCATGCCCAGTAACGTAAAAGCATTTTCATGTTG